ATATAGCAAATAATATTGTTGCAGTAATAACACCAGGAGGCAGCTCTGATGAAAACTCACACTCACGCGAGCTTTTAAATTCGCACAAAATTCAATTTAAAACCAGCAAATAATAGAGCCTACTAGACTGGAGAATACACTAGACCTCATCTTCACTAACAATGATGATCTGATAAGAAATGTCACCATATCAAAAACAATATACTCAGATCACAACATAATTGAGGTTCAGTCATGTATGCGCGGAGCCCCAGACCGACATAATGAGATTAGTCACGAGGGAGCATTCACCAAATTCAACTTCAATAACAAAAACATAAAGTGGGACCAAGTAAACCAAGTCCTAACCGATATAAGCTGGGAAGATATACTAAGCAACACAGACCCCAACTTATGCCTAGAACAGATTAACTCGGTGGCACTCAATGTATGCACAAGGCTTATTCCTCTAAGAAAAAGGAGGAGTAGATGTAAAATAGAAAGAGACAGGCGCTCCCTTTACAATCGACGGAAAAGAATAACAGAGCGGCTAAAAGAGGTCAATATATCTGAAATGCGTAGGGAGACACTGGTCAGAGAAATAGCAAGCATCGAACTTAAGCTAAAAGAATCCTTTAGGAGTCAGGAATCGCGGGAAGAACTAAAAGCCATAAATGAAATCGAAAGAAACCCAAAGTATTTCTTCTCCTATGCCAAATCAAAGTCGAGAACAACGTCCAGTATTGGGCCCCTACTTAAACAAGATGGGACCTACACAGATGACAGCAAGGAAATGAGTGAGCTACTCAAGTCCCAATATGACTCAGTTTTTAGCAAGCCGCTAACCAGACTGAGAGTCGAAGATCAAAATGAATTTTTTATGAGAGAGCCACAAAATTTGATTAACACAAGCCTATCCGATGTTATCCTGACGCCAAATGACTTCGAACAGGCGATAAATGACATGCCCATGCACTCTGCCCCAGGGCCAGACTCTTGGAACTCTGTGTTCGTCAAGAACTGCAAGAAGCCCCTATCACGAGCGTTTTCCATCCTATGGAGAGGGAGCATGGACACGGGGGTCGTCCCACAGTTACTAAAAACAACAGACATAGCCCCACTCCACAAAGGGGGAAGTAAAGCAACAGCAAAGAACTACAGACCAATAGCACTAACATCCCATATCATAAAAATCTTTGAAAGGGTCCTAAGAAACAAGATCACCACCCATCTAGAAACCCATCAGTTACACAACCCAGGGCAACATGGGTTTAGAACAGGTCGCTCCTGTCTGTCTCAACTATTGGATCACTACGACAAGGTCCTAAATGCACTAGAAGACAAAAAGAATGCAGATGTAATATATACAGACTTTGCAAAAGCCTTCGACAAGTGTGACCATGGCGTAATAGCGCACAAAATGCGTGCTAAAGGAATAACAGGAAAAGTCGGTCGATGGATCTATAATTTCCTCACTAACAGAACACAGAGAGTAGTCGTCAACAGAGTAAAGTCCGAGGCAGCTACGGTGAAAAGCTCTGTTCCACAAGGCACAGTACTCGCTCCCATCTTGTTCCTCATCCTCATATCCGACATAGACAAGGATGTCAGCCACAGCACCGTGTCTTCCTTTGCAGATGACACCCGAATCTGCATGACAGTGTCTTCCATTGCAGACACTGCAAAGCTCCAGGCGGACATCAACCAAATCTTTCAGTGGGCTGCAGAAAACAATATGAAGTTCAACGATGAGAAATTTCAATTACTCAGATATGGTAAACATGAGGAAATTAAATCTTCATCAGAGTACAAAACAAATTCTGGCCACAAAATAGAGCGAAACACCAACGTCAAAGACCTGGGAGTGATCATGTCGGAGGATCTCACCTTCAAGGACCATAACATTGTATCAATCGCATCTGCTAGAAAAATGACAGGATGGATAATGAGAACCTTCAAAACTAGGGAGGCCAAGCCCATGATGACACTCTTCAGGTCACTTGTTCTATCTAGGCTGGAATATTGCTGCACACTAACAGCACCTTTCAAGGCAGGTGAAATTGCCGACCTAGAAAATGTACAGAGAACTTTCACGGCGCGCATAACGGAGATAAAACACCTCAATTATTGGGAGCGCTTGAGGTTCCTAAACCTGTATTCCCTGGAACGCAGGAGGGAGAGATACATGATTATATACACCTGGAAAATCCTAGAGGGACTAGTACCGAACTTGCACACGAAAATCACTCACTACGAAAGCAAAAGACTTGGCAGAGGATGCAACATCCCCCCAATGAAAAGCAGGGGTGTCACTAGCACGTTAAGAGACCATACAATAAGTGTCAGGGGCCCGAGACTGTTCAACTGCCTCCCAGCACACATAAGGGGGATTACCAACAGACCCCTGGCAGTCTTCAAGCTGGCACTGGACAAGCACCTAAAGTCAGTTCCTGATCAGCCGGGCTGTGGCTCGTACGTTGGTTTGCGTGCAGCCAGCAGCAACAGCCTGGTTGATCAGGCTCTGATCCACCAGGAGGCCTGGTCACAGACCGGGCCGCGGGGGCGTTGACCCCCGGAACTCTCTCTAGGTAAACTCCAGGTAAACAAGTTACAAATCATTGAAACAAGAGATTTTCACCTGCATCAAGACACCCCTCCCTTACTGTCTGAAGCCTCTTTATGCCCCTAACGGGTTTAGCTAATCAGCATTTACGCCATTTTTACAGGAAGAGCTTGTAATATTGGCGTATAGCCAAGAACGATCGTTATGCCGAACAATTCAAGTATAATTTCGTGTGGGATCGAGTATCCGCCAGTTGAACTGTTTCTGTGCTGGCCTTAATAGTGTGTGAGAATCTCGCTCTCGCCTGAGCATAAGTGACAAATTTTCCCTTGTGCTTTCTGGGACTCATGTTACCATCTTGTCCTGCTGGCTGGGCACATCAAAGACCGGGACAGAGTTCAGTAATATTTTTCTTCTCGGCGGGAAATTCTAGTTTCGGCGGGAAGCCGGTCACTGACTCAAGTGTGTGATGTTAGTGTTCTTATTTGCTCGAGCTTAGTCAAGGGGATCCATGTGATCTAACTGGGAACTTATTCCCTTTTCTATTTTCAAAGGAACTCCTGATCCCTTTCTATTTATCCCCCAGCTTTGGGCAACAGTTGTTCCCTGGATACCGTGAAGCATGGCTGGACACAGCTCAGTGACCCCTAAACCCTGCAAGGCAGAGTCAGGTGCGGCACAGCTGGCTACACTAGCACGGTGCTGGGTCACACTGCATAGTGACGCGATTACTTTTCAAGGAGACCCTAAACCCGTAGGCCATATAGCGCCAGGGACATGGGAGGTAATCGTGTTCGACCCTTGGATCAAGAGCCGTTCAGCAAAGGTAAAGTGATGCAAAGGCTGCCACAACTGTATACCTATGTACACAGAAAGGTGTGTATTTCTCAGTGTACATATCCACCGAGAGTGTATACGCACTGAGTTCACTTTAATCTTTATTTTAGGGATTAAAGTATCAGTGACTGGCGGTGTACAGGTAAAAAGCACCCATAATGACCATTGCTCAGTCGATAGGCTTTAAACCTAATGGTATAACCTACGAGCATAAGCCACAGGAGTGTGTAGATGAGTACCCGGGAGAGGATGAGGATACCCCAGGAATACCAGCTGATGGTCCAGTATTATCAGGCTGCAGGTATGTGTAACACATTTATTTATTTATTTATTTATTTAATTTGAACATGATACAAAAAAGTACAGGAATACAATTTTTAAAGTGCAACATGCCAAAGTCCCTTGTATGCAGAGCATTATGGGCAGCTTAAAATTAACTTAAGATTAACTAAACAATGATATATTCAGTGGTACAAAAATTATTGTAAAACAATAACAATTTAGTACAAATGAGTATTACAAAGACAGGTCATATGGTCATTACTGTATTGCTGTGTAATCACTAGAATGGAGTATTATGTTACGTAATGAAGTTAAATAGTAACAAAGTTTGATTGGGTCACAGGCTGACATTTATGAGATACAATAATGAGATACATATATGAGATACAATTTATGAGATACAATTATTCAGAATTTATTTAGTTGTGGGTGAGTAAGTGATTTTTGAGAAGAGACTTGAATTTATAAACAGACAGTGTTTCTTTTATATTCACAGGTAATGAATTCCAGATTTTAGGGCCTTTTATGTGCATTGAGTTTTTGCATAGTGTGAGATGGACACGAGGAACATTAAAGAGTGATCTGTGCCTTGTGTTATGGTCATGTGTTCTGTTGAGGTTGGTAAGGAGATGTTTGAGGGGAGGGTTTATGTCAGAGTTAAGTGTTCTATGTATGTAGTAGGTGCAGTAATAAGTATGGATGTTTTGTATTGTGAGTAGGTTTAGAGTTTTGAATATTGGTGGAGTGTGCTGTCTGTAGTGGGAATTTATCATTCTGACTGCAGCCTTTTGTTGGGTGATTAGTGGTCTGAGATGGTTAATTGTTGTTGAGCCCCATGCACAAATTCCATAGGTGAGATAGTTGTAAATAAGTGAGTGATATAGGGCCAGGAGGGCTGACTGTGGAACAGTACCGTATCTTCGATAGTATGCCTACGGTCTTGGAATTTTTTTTGGAAATTTGTTGTATATGTGTTTGAAATTTGAGTCTATTATCAAGGTGGATTCCTAGGAATTTTCCCTCTGTGAGTTTTGTAATAGGTGATCCATTTATCATTATGTTAAGAGAGACATCTGTAGATCTGTTACCAAACTGAATGAAGTAGGTTTTGTCAATGTTTAGAGTAAGTTTGTTGGTCCTCATCCAGGTTGATATTTTCTGTAATTCGGTATTTACAGTATTGGCTAGCATGACTGGGCTCGGGTGAGAGTAGACGTATGTAGTGTCATCTGCAAATAGTGTGGGTTTGAGTAGTTGCGATGCATTTGGTAGGTCATTTATGTATATGAGAAAGAGAAGAGGGCCTAAGACACTTAACTTAATCCTTTTTCAAAATAAACAATATTGAGTGCGCCTGCAGTGTGCAGCTTCCATACTCTGTAAATTACATTGTGGCAACAAAAATGGCTTACTTTTCGCCATTGCATTACATAGGATGGGTTACATTCATGAAGTAATGTAATTTGTCAGCTTGAGCTGGAACTTCAGTAGGTCGATGAGGTTTACCTGGAGATACCTGGAGAAGGTTTCAGGGGTCAACGCCCCCGCGGCCCGGTCTGAGACCAGGCCTCAGGTTAACGTCAAGTATTACACAATGTCTTCCTTACTTACTGCAGCGGGAAAACTTTTATTCTAGCACAACTGAAGCTACTCGGGATGGCTTGTCTCACAGGGAAATGAAATAGTATATTAGAATATTATTATAACCATAAACTACATATTATATACTAGTCCCTTCAAAGGAGTTCCGAACACAGTTGTGATCCATGGAGACTGATCCCTAAATGATGGGGTGTGGTGCTTTTTTGACGGTGAAGGGCTTTTGATCCATGGAACTTGCGCTATCCTCCCTTTACTGGGATCAAACCTAATCGCTTCCCATTCCCCAGGCGTTTTACGAGCCCTACTGGTTTAGCACTTCCTATGAAGAAAAATTATAAAGTGATCAATTGGGACAAATATTAAGAAATAATATATTAAAAATTAATCAGCACCTGAAAAATATAAAAAAGAAATTGAAAATGAAAACATTGGGTGGCTATCATAGTCTTAGAGTGTGGAACAAGAAAGGTTCATCAAATATATATTTTTTTTCAATTCATTTATTATCCTTATATACACTCATACGTCCAAAGCAATACTAAAAATATGCGATGATTACTATAAAGGTGTCGAAATAAACTTACCGCAATAACCCTGCTCAATAAGCAAAGTGAATTTGATTTATTCATCAGGAAACAAGACTGATTCCTGACGCGGGTCTTGAAGATGACCCGATCGATGAAGCCAAGTGAAGTCGAAGCAACTAATAAACCTGGTACTGAGTCTCTAAAGCCAAGTGCACAAACATAAAAAAGAGGATATGCTTATTAAATAATGGTATATGTATTTATTTGAAGTTAGTATTTATATGCCACTGATTTTGTACATAGCTAAGCTAAATCTTTCGTTCAGCAGTGTGCTGACTTGAACTGAATGTCAAGACCTTAGGCTAAAACCATTTCACATTCATACAAAATATACATCTGTAGCTGCTGTAGCCTAACACAAAATTATCCTTGCTCTCTCTCTCTCTCTTTCTCTCTCTCTCTAATATATATATATATATTATATATATATATATATATATATATATATATATATATATATATATATATATATATATATATATATATATATATATATATAATGTGCCGAATTGGTAACTGGTCAGTTAGCAAGCACTCATTTAAGATTGTCTTTTCTAAAATTTTCTCTTATTCATTTAAAGATACATTTTTTCATTTATGTAAAATAAAAATTAATGATTTTGTACCAAAAGAACCTTAGGAAACTTACCTAGCCATATTATAACAAGCGCAATTTAATTTAGCCTAATCAAACTAAATATATTTCATACAAGTTTACAATAATTTAATAATACACAAATTCAATGAGATATATTTTTTCGTTAGGTTTAGAATTATTTTTTTTTGCGAAATTATTGCATACACAAATTTTCACTTGCCCTATTTGGCAAGAAGAGCGTTGCTATTTAAGCCAAAATAGCAAGTTTTACTTATTCGGCACGATATATATATATATATATATATATATATATATATATATATATATATATATATATATATATATTATATAATATATATATATATATATATATATATATTATATACGATGGGGTCCACCTCTGGTGTAAATTGTGGGACCCATACCCTCGGAGGAGTGGATAAAAAGGCTTCAAGGAAGAATATTTGGATTTCTTCCTGAAGCCGTTTGAATATTCCACTTCCCCTACCACCCCATACACACATAACTGTTATAGACAGTCTTCATATGAAAGAAAGTTGAGAACTCATTTCTGATATATTGTTGATATATTAGCATATACATAACAATTAGACACGGCAAATATGAGATTTATCTAGCCTGTAAAATTTGAGACTGCAAACATATTTTAAAGGTCTTGGAAACAAAAGCATTCCAACTAAAGCGGCTGCCACTGTAATATGGTACAAGGTGCATTATGCCTACATTATTCCTTATATTTTTGTGATTTTTTGCAAATATGTAACTGTTTTTGCCGGGAGTTCCGTGGGGAAGATGAGGGATGGAGCAGTTTGTTAGGGTGTGGATGGGCAAGGAAAGGCTTGGCAGTAGTCTGGTCGGGTTCTTGCTTAGTGTTGGCATGACGTTCTCTTAGCTGGCTCTCCTGTAGGGCCTCGGAGACCCAGGGCATTCTTCGCCACTCCGGGAACAACCTGCCGTAATACACTTGCAGTGAAAATTTGTACTTTTTTTTTACACGAAGCTGTTTTTAAAGCTTATTATTATGGGTTATACTTAGATTTGGCCAAATTCGCGTGGTCTCAGACCGGGCCGGGGGGGGGGGGCGTTGACCCCCGAAACCTCTCTCCAGATATACTTCATGTATGATGAGTAAATTATTTTTTCCCCCTGCCCCAACCCCTCATCGCGACCCTCTCTGTCACCCTGCCAACCCTTTATTTCACCCCCTCCACCTCAGGCCTCCACTGTGCTTGAAATAGGCTAATCTGAGAGGGGCAATTCCCAAGTGATAGTAACTCCAGCTCTCCTGGAGTTACTATCACTTGGAAACCCTTACTGAAATACTTGATGACAACTTTATTGCCCCACTGAAGTCTCAGATCAGGTTGGCAGATTTCAACTCCGTATGAAATACATCGTGTGTAATTGAATATGACAGCTAAACATAACTAAATTTTATCTCCACCTATAATTTAACTATCTTATAGAATTGGGTAGCAGTACACTACTGATGCGGCTAATTTTGTTAAAAAAAAATCTTCAATTCTCGATTCAGTTGCAAGTGGTAAGATAATATAACCAATTGAAACAAGTTGTGTATATTAAGGCTTTTGTGGAGTTATTAATATGCTTTCGAAGAACAATAATTTTTAAAAAGAATGACAACTCATGTGAGCAATGATTTACTTGTGAATGTCATAATATATTATAGTCACACGGAAGAACTAATCCCATTGGGGCCATACAACTCATGTGAGATGAGAAATAAGGTCTGATATGAGTAGCTGCATTTTTTAAATCAAGAACACTTCACTAGCATCAAGGTCACAAAATATACAGGAAGCAAATAGATATCCCTCATGTACTTACATGAGGTATGAGCTAAGAAACTCGTGATGAAGGGATGTGCCCTCCAGGTGAGACATGAGCTGGCAGAAAGAGCGCCTCAAGCAGTTATAGTTTCCAAGGATGCTTGGAGGTGGAAGCAAGGATTGAAGCTCTTGTGAGCTCTCACCCTCTATTTCCTTTAGCCCAGTCATCTGAAGTAATATGATAACGTCCTCAAATGATACATTGGCACTGTTATGAGAAGGTCGGAGCATTGTTTCCATCATTGTCTGGTTGAAAATTTCAGGTAAGGTTGCTGGAACAGTGATGAGCGTCTCGTACTCAGTAAATGGATCTTGCAAGATCTCTCTCCGGCGACGACCAGCAGCGATGGGCAGAAGCGACATGGCACCAAGTAACATCGCTCCTTTATAGAACATTTTTTTGTAATCAGTGGCCTTTTCGTCTTTGAGGCGCTTAAATAAGTTTTTTTTAAGTTGCTCTTTCTGCATTTCTTGAACTTTTATTCGTAAATGAAGATCATTCAGGTCTCTTAACTTCTCTGTTTCTTGTCGCATCCTCATTTCATTTCGAAAGTACTTTAGCTCAAGTTGTTCACGCTGTTGATCAAGTGCATCACGTGTGGGACTTGCAGGCTGCGTTGACTGTCTGCTGGGCAGTGGACCCACAGCCACAATTGGGGCCCGTTGTAGGAACTTAGGGGGCTTGGCCTTTTTCGCCAATGCAAAGGAGAATCTTGGCGGCGGAGGAGGTCGTGCTGGGATGAAAACAGTGCTCTGAGGAGGAGCAGGAGGCTGGGGGTCAGCCGGTGGAGCACCATATGATGGCGACAGTGTGACTGGAGGTAACGCTGGGGGGCTAGTTGGAGGAGGACCGTAAGAAAATGGAGGAGGAGAACGAGGAATTCTGGGCATATTTGGAGGGGAACGGTATGCTGCTGAAGGAGTTGGAGGAAAAGCCGGTGGTCTTGGGGGTAGACCTGCAGGTGGAGGTCTATATACTGGCCTAGGTGGATTCGGTGGAGCTCTAGGAGGAGGATTGTATCCATACATTGACGCAAGTGGATTTGATGGTGGAGGAGGTCCATATACATTTATTGGTGTTGGAGGGTCTAATGGAGGTGGAAGTCCATATCCACGTATTGGAGCAGGAGGGTCTGCTCGTGGAGGCGGAGGTCCATATTCACGTATTGGTGCAGGAGGGTCTGCTGGTGGAGGCGGAGGTCCATATCCATTCATTGGAGCAGGAGGGTCTGCTGGTGGAGGCGGAGGTCCATATCCACGTATTGGAGCAGGAGGGTCTGCTGGTGGAGGCGGAGGTCCATATCCATTCATTGGAGCAGGAGGGTCTGCTGGTGGAGGCGGAGGTCCATATCCACTCATTGGAGCAGGAGGGTCTGCTGGAGGTGGAGGGCCGTATCTGTTTGTTGATCTTAAAGGGTTTAAAAATGACAATGGAGCCTCAATTGTGTTTGTGGGTGTATTAATCGATGAATAAGAAGATAATGGTGGATTATTTTGGTCACGTGGAGCTACTACAGCTTCTCTAGGTTCGTTGAAAATATTCTTTTGATCTCTATGGTTGGAATTATACGAATATTCTGAGGTAGGACCAACAGGATCCGCCGAGCCCTGATCTCTGCAGTCATCCCCCGACTTGCATTCTGCCGATTTGTAACTCTTTCCTATACTATCCGAACTTTCTTCTTTCTCCTTTCCTAAGAAATCTTTTTCCCCACCAAAGTGATAATGGTAATGGTAGTTATAAACATGACTGCTGGTATCATTGCTAGTATCACTTTCGTGAATATCATCCTGAGTGCTTAGAGGCTTACTTTTGTATGATGCATCATCGCTTGCTGCAGTGAGTGGTTTCCATTCATCAGAGTTATCCCGGCTGCCGGTGCCTTCGAGAGGCAGGAACCCGGAGGGTGGCCTGTAGTAGGAATTCAAGGGCGCTACTTGGTCAGCTGCCGGAGGTTTGGATTTAGCATTAGGAACAGCGACATAGAAGATAGATGGAGAAGGATCGGGAGCTGCATCTCTGTTTGGGAGGCCATACTCAGTTGACAAACTCGGCGTCTTTGGTGTTGAAGGACTATTCGGAAAAATGAAAATTTGTGCTGGAGTGATGATGAGCTTAGACTTATCGCGAGAGTTAAACTGAGGAAGATGTGGTAGTTCAGGTTCGTTAGCCGATGTATCTCTGTTTGGTGGAAGATATCCACTGGTTGGAGGTGGTGCTGGTGGATCACGTGGTACAACACTCGTCTCTCTGTTTGGTGGCAGATATCCACTGGTTGGAGGTGGTGCTGGTGGATCACGTGGTAAAAAATTCGTCTCTCTGTTTGGTGGAAGATATCCACTGGTTGGAGGTGGTGCTGGTGGATCACGTGGTAAAAAATTCGTCTCTCTGTTTGGTGGAAGATATCCACTGGTTGGAGGTGGTGCTGGTGGATCACGTGGTAAAAAATTCGTCTCTCTGTTTGGTGGAAGATATCCACTGGTTGGAGGTGGTGCTGGTGGATTACGTGGTAAAAAGTTCGTCTCTCTGTTTGGTGGAAGATATCCACTGGTTGGAGGTGGTACTGGTGGATCACGTGGTAAAAAATTCGTCTCTCTGTTTGGTGGAAGATATCCACTGGTTGGAGGTGGTGCTGGTGGATCACGTGGTAAAAAATTCGTTTCTCTGTTTGGTGGAAGATATCCACTGGTTGGAGGTGGTGCTGGTGGATCACGTGGTAAAAAATTCATCTCTCTGTTTGGTGGAAGATATCCACTGGTTGGAGGTGGTGCTGGTGGATCACGTGGTAAAAAATTCGTCTCTCTGTTTGGTGGCAGATATCCACTGGTTGGAGGTGGTGCTGGTGGATCACGTGGTAAAAAATTCGTCTCTCTGTTTGGTGGAAGATATCCACTGGTTGGAGGTGGTGCTGGTGGATCACGTGGTTAAAAAATTCGTCTCTCTGTTTGGTGGAAGATATCCACTGGTTGGAGGTGGTGCTGGTGGATCACGTGGTAAAAAATTCGTCTCTCTGTTTGGTGGAAGATAGTTGCTGTATGTACGGACTGATGGAAGATCTTTAACCGTAGTGCTGTGAAAATGATTATGATGTTGTAACCTAGATCCTTTTACCATAGTCATTAGAGAATTGACAGTGTCACGTTGTTTTCTGTTTAGCTCCGATAATGAGCTTATTTGCCGATTGTAGATCGACTTTGCTAGCTTTAGCTGAAATTCTTCGTCATCTTTCTCGTCTGTCAGTGTGGGACTTTCAAATGCCGTGATAATCTCCATGGCAAGTTTGAGGTCTTCCAGACGTCGCCTTCTGATGTCTACTAATGTCTTATCTCCCGGATCCTCAATAGAGGTCGAGGCTTCTTTGCCTTCATTGTCAGTAGTGCCCAAAAGTTTATCCAGTTCTGGTAGATCATTCTCATTATATAGAGAAAAGAAATCGACATCGTTTTCTTTTGCAGAACTAATGTCTTTCATATTTTTTCTTGCCAAAGTTTCGAGTACTAGCTGCAGGTCTCCCTGGAGAGCGAGAGAGGAGGTGTCTGAGATGTTGGAGGAGGTATTAAGGGAAGCGTTGGAGGAGGTATTAATGGTAGTGTTGGAGGAGGTAGTGCTTGGTGTGGTTGTGTTGAGAACTGCGGCGAGGTGTTGAACATAGTGGACCAGCATCTTAAGGGTCTGAGAAACGGAGTCTTCGTCTGAGGTTTCCTGAAATAAGGAAGAGACGTGCTAGAATATTGACTAATTTTTGTTTTCTAGGTCAGCTTCAGTCAATTACTAATATTCATTAAATAAAATTAAGAAACAGAAGGAAAGTTAAACAGTTAGGTATTTGTTTGTTCTGCATGATGCTTTTCTTTTGACCCTTTGAAAATTAGTACAAATCCAAAGAATGATTTTTTGGTGTCCTGAATCAGGCACACGGCTGTTATGATTCAGCATAAATGTTCCCGGAAACTTAAAATATAGCTCTCGCCTGTTCGCTGTTAAAAAGAAATAGAATAAAGATAAATGTCTTTGCTTTTCCCTTCCCACTACCCGTACCCTCCAGTATACGAGTTACTTTCGCCTTCCCACTACCCCTACCCTCCTGTATACTAAATGCAATATGCTGTACAAACCTCTGAAGTGTTGTTTCTGGTCGCCGGCAGCCGGAACCTGTGAGTACTGGGTGGAGGCTCCTGCCTGTCAGTGTAGTCCTCGTAATCATATTCGTAGTCAGGTTCTCTGTTGCTGAGCCTTCGCTGGGAAGATGGTAGGATAAAGTCGTCGAAGCTGTTGGTGTAGCGATCTCTCCCTGCTACACGGGGATTTGTCAGCTTAGTTTCAGGACGCACTATGACCTGGCCACCTGAACTCGCACCCGCGTTGGGCAGGTCGTCGAATAGGGACCCACCCGACTGGGGGCCGGTGAGGCGAGTGGAGACGGTGGCTGAAGCCACCCTAGGCTTGCCTGGAGGAATATTTCTAGATGATAAGACGTCTTTACCTGTTTCTTTGGGGTAGCCCCCTTCCCGAAGCTCCTTCATACTGAGGGATGTCTTAGGGCCGCCGAAGAGAGACTCTGCTGATGACAGGCGTCCTGTGTTATCAGTGAACGAGGCTCCTTGCGTGGAATGAGACCGGGACCTGGCTGTTAAACTGTCACCAACACCCAGAGTCAGGTCCACCTCGTCAAAAAGAGACTGTCCCTTCGTCAGGAGAAGCAGGCTGCACAAAACCAGGCACCCTGCAATATGCAGACCTAGATTAATGTCTAGTCATAACTGAAAATCATTTACTCTTGGGGGGTAAACACTGTCATGAAACAAAAAATATTGAGCAGGTTCTAAGGTGGAACGGAACGAAGAAAATCTAGGAGGTAGTAAAATTGGTAATTAACATTGCTGTATTCTAATCAGGAAACTCTCTGAAATTATTACGTACAGCTATACAACAAGTAACTAATAATCTTCCTTCTGTAACTCAATTGTCACCAACACTACAACTCCAAGAGTTCCCATCCCATTACTTCTTTTTTTTCTGGGGCTGTCCAGTCACCAAACACCAACACATAATTAGGAAAATTATATCTAAGGACCATTAACAAGGAATAGCACCACACAACAAGATAGTAAACCTTAGGAAAACAATATAGCACTCTGGCAAGAGCTCTCTGTAAGTTCGCTCTCTTAGCTGTTTCCCTGGGTTTATATGAGCCTACACTCCGCCATAGTCACCTCTCTGAGGTCGCCCTCTATGGGGGCACATTACATGCGCTACACAAAGCCTCGGCTCTCTCCCCACCAGTATCAGAATTCTGAGAAATATGCACTGACACTCCTTTATTCAGCTATTCTCACTTTCCCATATGAAATGACCTGGATTAACGCTGGTCACTAAACACAACCTTCTACTGTGACCTGATTTGCGAAACATTTGACCTACATCACAACATTATTACATGCAGAAATGGTGAGGTGACAAAAGGAAAAGTGAGATTTCACATGCATTTGTGAGGTGTGTAGCGGTGAGGTTGTGTGTAGTGGTGAGGTGTGTGTAGTGATCAGGTGGGAACTCAAGTGCCGCTATTGATGAATATTATATTGAATATTGATGAATATTATCTTGAAATATTAGTTTTGCAGGGCTGCATTATACTGTGCAAATGATAATCCACAAGAATCTAGTTTCTTTTATCTGAGAAGGGAGATTAAAGAATGATAGACAGGCTTACTGAGGTGTCGGGTAAATAGTAGGGGGAAAACAAACCATTAGAGTCCTATCTGCTTTTATTTGTAAGTTAAAGTGTATTTACGTATATCAAACTATAGACCCTTGTGGATTTAGCGCTTAGTTTTGATTGTAATAATAATAATAATATGTATATCAAAAATTCTGGCAAGAGAGAATTGTGCATAATTCCGTAATACACCAACAAGATGTGCATTATTTTTTTCTGATGATGAATCTCTCCTGAAGCCGTTGTTGTTTAACGTTAATCAAACTGGGATGAAGTGAACCTGGACGTTTTCTGTCGGATATTTGTATTATAATAGTGGGTTCTGCGGAGGCGTTATTATTGGTAAGTCTGTCTTGCGTCCGCTCGTCTCTAAGCCTAGTCATGATTTGAGGGGGAGGCATGTGTGAGCTGGCCTATATGGTAGTTACGTGACGTCAGCATGGCCAGGTACCCTGTCTATAATGTTGTTAGGGAGTCTATCAATAAGCAAACATACTGGTGACAGTATGTGGTTCAGCTTGCCTACTGTCGAACTGCGAGAGTTTTGGACCGAGAAAAGTCTGAGCTTATAAAATTCTTGATCTCTGAAATGATGAATTTTGTCACATGTTTATTCGAGAATGTTCTAATGGTGATACGATTAAGCGTAAGTAATTTATATTCGGCAGTTACTGGTTGAGTGCAATGGCTTGAAAACAGTCAGTTTGTTACTGCCAGAAATACTGTAGTGACTTACGAAATCGTAATAACACAATTGTCATAGGTTCAACCCCCGCCCCATTTCGTGGTTTATAAAGTATATTTGTGAATGTCGGCTTCATTGATTTAAAACATGCCAGCTAAGAAAATCAATACACGAACAGTTTCCAAGCTATATTCTCGCATTTAGGAAGCAAACTGATGAGCCGAGAGAGTTCTAGTACAATATAGTGGTCAGCTGTGAGACTGGTAGCTCGATCGTAAGTGCGCTCAGCTAACACTGAGGTCCGGGGATCGATCTCCCGGTACGGCTGGAAAACATTAGGACGTGTCTCCTGCTGTACCTGTTCACCCATCAGTAAAATGGGTACCTGGGTGTTAGTCGACTGGTGTGTGTCGCATCCTGGGACAAAATTGACATAATTTGCCCGAAATGCTCAGCATAACAAGCGACTTTATATATAGTAGTATGTCATTGATGTCATCTAGGTCTGTATACCTTGTGTATGAACTTATAGAATTATATTATTATTATTATTATTATTGTAAAGTAAAAGGACACAAGTGCAACTAATGTGACATTTTATTGTGGCAATGTTTCACTCTCCAGGAGCTTTATCAAGCCGGCTTGATAAAGCTCCTGGAGAGCGAAACGTTGCCACAATAAAATGTCACATTAGTTGCACTTGTGTCCTTTTACTTTACATATTGTCGGTGATTCTACCAACATTATTATTATTATTATTATTATTATTATTATTATTATTATTATTATTATTATTTGGTCAGCTGAGAAGTTGCTAGCGCAATGTAGTAAGTGCCTGGTCACCACGATAACATTTTTTCGCAGATTGGTTCTGCACACAATGGTAACCATCTGATTTTATTGGAACTGACTGTGGAGTATGACGCATTCTTGGCGCAACTTGTTTAGACCAAAGATAACACAGAGAAGGGACATTCTAGCTTTTTCTTTACTATGTGTGATTATTATTATTATTATTTTATTGTTATTGTTATTGCTCTTATTCACAATAAAACGCTAAACCCGTATAGGTCATACAGAATTTATCGGCAGAGAGCAGGCGTGTGAAGGGTTAGATTATTTGCTTAGGGAAAGTCATATCATTATAAAACTCCACTTGAGATCAGAAAGTGGTGGATAGTGGGACGCTAAGAGAGGAGAGCAAAGCGAGGCTAGTAAGTGTGTGGCAGTTATTTGCACTTTTTTGGTAATTCCTCGCTGTTCTTTCAAACCAAATCAATTCTCAAGTACACCCCTTTTGTTTTACGTAGGACAGTGCTCAAACTAATTAAGTTACCTTATGATTCTTCTTTGGGGAAATTTAAACTTGGGGGGGAGTGCCTTGATGAATTTATATCTGTATTTGAGTCAACAGACCACAAGGGGAGATTTAAAAAAGGCTTTTTCTAACATTTCTTAAATTTTTTTGAGCGCATCCTACAGGTGTGCCGGGTCCAACGGTAACACTCCATAAACATGTATACGCAAAAAGGGCATGCAGCTGCATGGGCTACAAAAGGGAAATCACGACATATATACCTTATTTTAAAGGCATTCTTTACGTCTTGGGAGAAAATGCTGCAGTTTTTTTTGTTTTGTAAAGTAACTGGCTTTCAATGTGCACTATGAAAATTTTTCGACTATAAATTAAACACAATAGAAATTCAAAAAAAATTGAAGAATGAGGCATTGTGCAACATTTGAGAATCTTTAAATTACATTATATTTGAAAAAGTCCCCTTTTCCCTAACGAAACAATGAAAAGAATGACAAATGTTGGGGGTGGCGGTTGGAAACAAAAAGTTTTTCCTGCGCTCCCACCTCTCTGTAACGACAAAGACGACCTGACCCAAAGAAAATCTGTCCAAAAAAATCACTCCTTTTGACTACATTTACGCCCAAACTGATTCCAACCCCAAACTCCTCTGCCCACACAACAAATGCAGACCCCTCAAATGCGCATTCGGGCTGAGACATATAACCCCCCAACACACCCCTTTCGCGAGTGAGATTTTTAGTGGCAATTTAGTGAATACCGGAGTTGTTAATTTTGTAAGAGGAGGCAGTGATTTCATTTTGACATAAAGGGAAATAAGATCTGGAAGGAGTAGGAAGAGTCATGGGAGTGTAGGGAAAAGGAGTTTCAGCCAAAGGTAGGGGGAAAAAATTTGGAAGGCTGATGGGACAAATGAAATTTAAAACTATGATGCTAAAGGGCAGTGCAAAACTCGGGGTGTTTTTGGGGGAAAACCCTAAAATAATGAAAAAGGAAAGTAGGTGGAGTGTTGAGTGGTGGAAAGAAAAAATACGAGGTAAGAAGGTCAGGGTTTTTTGTATAAGGTAACCCGTAAAATATAAACATTGGAAACGGGGGGATGAGATGTCACGCTTTTAAAGCAATGAAAGGTGAGAATATTGTCTTTTGTTTTTCTGGGTCCCAGATTGAGCTCCTGGACCCCCTGCCTAGACAAATTTGAAACCATCACTGATCTTTTGGCCAGTCGCAGGTTTATTTCTTAACCTCCCCCAAAACCATTCCTCTCATTCTGGCACTACGTTTTAAACCTCTGCACCTTTCGAGTGCTTTCTTGTTTTAAAACAGGTTTTTGTCTCCATGCTGGGGCTGCGTACACACTGATTGGCCTAATAACATATGCAACATGCTTGGAGTTGTATTTGCCATATGCCCTTTTAATTATCTGATATTTACAGTTTCTCTCCACACATGATGTATGCTGGCATCGAAATGCCAGTAACAGAGACGACTTAAGGTACGCCTGTGTCCTCCACAGAGACTCCACAGAACATTTGATGAACTGGGATGAGGCACAACTCGTTTTCACCGAACCAGACCTCAGACGCCGACGGTGTCTAGAAGCCTCGCTAATCCCCGTCACCGACACAATAGAACGTAACAATGGAAACCACAAAATTTCTAAAACATTAGCATACATGTTGTTAGGTAAGACACATATGCAACAGTTAGGTATACGTGATACTCAACCAGGCAAAGCAGCACCTACCCAGCAACACAGGAGTCACATGATCTCATCGTCTACCCGTCCTCATCCCAATACGGTATTCTTCAGGTCACCATGCGTCACTCACACCTCACTCACCATGCATCACTCACACCTCACTCACCATGCGTCACTCACACCTCACTCACCATGCGTCACTCACACCTCACTCACCATGCGTCACTCACACCTCACTCACCATGCGTCACTCACACCTCATACTCCGCCTATATATACTGTCTTTCAACCTGTATGTTAGAAGT